GACCTCTAGTGTTGTGTTCTTGAATCAGAGCTATTGGATCTGGTGTGGAAGAGTGTGGACAAACACAAATCCGCGGCTTGGGTATGAAGTTAAAAAAAAAAAATCGCATGCGCCCCACCTATCTGTTGGGCTAGCTACTAGGGTTAGAAAAAGAGTACCAGGCATGGCTATATTTTATGAAAGTAAAAGTATTGACAGCCGTGACTTCTGCTTTGGAGGAAACTCAATATTATCAGTTGATATCTGAGGTAAAGAAACAATATCTGTCTAGTATTTACTGAGTGTTCGCTCTACAGGTGGGTCTCTGTGTGGTTTCTGTGTGTTGGCTTGAAAAAGAAATTGTTTTGAGGCAGGGTCTCTGTCGCTGTATAGACCAGGCTGACCCTGAACCCATGATTCCCCTGCCTCAGCCTTCAGCGTGCTGTGTAACTTGAATTCTCTCTGCCAACAGGAGGAAGGGATTATTGCCCTCCATTTTGCAGAGGGTCTGCAAAACTCCGCAGCTCCCTCAGAAAAGGGCGCTTGTCTGGATGAATCCCTGGCTGAGGCGGAAGCCAGCATTTGAACCTAACCCCATGGCAGGGTCAGCACACTTGAGTTTGAGATGATCTCTGACCGTGTAAGCCAGCATTTGGAGGTGCACAGTGAGGATGCTGCTTGGATTCCTGGCATATGGCAGTTGCTTTCTCCTCTGCTAACCCCGAGAACAGTGGTAACCATTGCAGCAGCGTCACTGTGCAAAATGATTTGGGAGCATTTTTGCTAATTTGTGCTTTGTCCTGTGAAGTATTGTTCTTTACAGATGCACTCAAATGCTCAAAGAAATAAAGAGACTTATTCAAGACAACGTACAATCTGCACAAACTGGGCCAGGCCCCCGGGCCCTTGCAGCCTTGTCTGTGTTCCCAACCTGGTTCCCAGCTCAGCTGTTCTAGGGCCCCTTCCTCCCCACTGCCCTAGGTTCTCCTCTCTTTTGCCTTGTCTGGAATTCTATGCACAGGTACAAAAGTATTTCTTTTTTATTTTTTAATTAAATTGTGTGTGTGTGTGTGTGTGTGTGTGTGTGTGTGTGAGAGAGAGAGAGAGAGAGAGAGAGAGAAACTGCACCACACACAGGAATGATGCTGAGAAAGGCAGCTAAGTGTTTGTTGTGGAAGAGACTGGAGACTCTAGCTAAGGAGTGTGAGCGCATGCACGTGCATAGTAAGCAGCCTCCAAAGTCTGAGTCTATGAGAATCTTAACAGAGCCATGACTTTGGCCAACATCAGTGCCAAGGGCCAAGCTGAGGGCCACAGAGTGTCTCTAGACTGCCCCACAGATTATAAGCAGGCTAAGAGGGGAATGCTAACTTAATGTCTGACCTTGCTGTTGAGAGACCTGTGGACAGATTTGGGCTCATGGTAGATTAAAAGTGACTTGGGTTTGTCATTAAGAAAGAGATAAACAAAGAACATTCTAGACAGATTGAAGAACTAAGGGTGAAAAATTAATTCATAAAAGTGGAAGAAAACCTGAACTGACATTTACCAAATTTCCCAAAGGCAAAGAACTAAATTTAAAGAAAATTAAATACATTAAGGGGAAAATATCCAATTACGTGAATATGCTTTATGGATAATTTTAAATCTACTGATTTTGAAATAATTTAAATGGAAAACAGTTTTACCAAGTGTTGACAACCCTAGAGCTACCAGAAAGTAAACTAAAGGGATTCCCAGAGGATCACTGGACAGTGGACATAAACCTAGTTCACTAAGAGGATCACTGGACAGTAGACATAAACTTAGTTCACTAAGAGGATCACTGGACAGTGGACATAAGCCTAGAGTTCACTAAGAGATCACTGGACAGTGGACATAAGCCTAGTTTACTAAGAGGATCACTGGACAGTGAGCATAAGCCTAGTTCACTAAGAGGAAAAACAGCTGACAGAACACTTCAAAACTTACGTTTATTTAACGAGTGTGTGCATGTTGGGGGTATGCACATGTGTGTGTGTGTGTGTGTGTGCATGTGTTGGGGGTATGCACATGGATGTGTGTGTGTTGGGGTATGCACATGGGTAGGTGGGTGTGCATGTGTTGGGGGTATACACATGTGTGTGTGTGTTCGTGTGTTGGGGTATGCACATATTGGTAACCTAAAGCTTGCCAGTTTGAACAACACAGCCGAGGTTTTCCCTATGAGATTCAGCACAGACCATTGTGACATTTGACTGCAGAGCTATTAGTTGAGTTGACGGCAAACCCTAAAAACAATCTGCAACGTTCCTGATTAACAACCAAAATGTTAAGAAACTGGGAAGAAGAAGAAAAAGAAGAAGAAAGAAAAACTAGAGGGGAGCTTGCTGTCTGACCGCGTCCTGCCCTATCTGGCCACGTCCTGCACTGTCTGACCATGTCCTGCTCTGTCTGGCTGTGTCCTGCCGTCTGGCTGTGTCCTGCCCTGTCTGGCCGTGTCCTGCCCTGTCTGACTATTGTCAGTTATTATGACCTCCTTTCAGAAGTCTCCTTCAAAACTCTCCAAGTCCTCTTGGTTCCAACCTCCATCTCCTGGAAAGGGCCAATGACAACAGTCCTGGTCAACGACGCATCCTGCCCACAGACCCGGGACCTGGGCTCAGTCACTGAGGGCCCTCCACGTCCAGACACAGCGCTGCTCATTCAGGAGTGACTAGGACCCCAAATATAAAGCTTTCATCCACTTTGTCAAAATTGCTGGCTGCAATTAAAACTGACAGGGAGAGGCCGCACCGCGAAGATGGTGTTCTGAAGGACTGTTTCTTTTTAGGAGCAGCAAATTCCTCCTCTGTTTAAATTACTTTGAGTCCCGGTGACAGCAAGACTCCCAGCTCAGGTGCTTATTCTGTAGCCCAGGGATGCTGCCATGAGGACAGATTCTGCGACTGTTACGTTGCCCTTGGATACTATGGTTTCTCTTCATACAGATCGCTTGCCTTTTACTAAGTTATGTTTGTAAACCATTTCTAGGCATGTAACAAATTCAAAATAAAGCAGAAGCATTGGGATACCCAGTCAGTACTTAGCATGATCCTTCAACAATCCATCAAAGATAGGAAAAAACCACAAAATACCAGCACCTAGGCTAAGTATTGTCGTGGAATGTTATTTTAAGATGTGCTACATTTGTTTATGCTGTGGAATATTTGTTCAATGATGCAAAGATGTGTTGTTTTCTTATATGCTGCATTTGTTTAACTCTGTAAAGCTGTGTTACTGTGCCTGTCTAAAACACCTGATTGGTCTAATAATAGCCACTAGCTAGGCAGGAGAGGGATAGGCGGGGCTACCAGAGTAAACAGAAGAGAGGCAAGCGGAAAAAGGAGTGGAGGATGACAGGGGCAGTCACACAACCACACAGCCAGAGACAGCATAAGAAGGAACAAAGAGATATACAGAAACAGAAAAGGGTAAGAGCCCAGAGGCGAAAGGTAGATGGGATAATTTAAGAAAAGCTGGCTAGAAATAAATCAAGCTAAGGCCAGGCATTCACAAAAAGAGAAAGTCTCTGTGTGATTATTTGGGAGCCAGGTGGCGGAGTCCTCAAAGAGCAAAGAGTAAACAACCAACTGCAAACTATAGAGGCTACAAGTCTTGAATTTATCTCACATTCCCCTCCTCCCTGTCCCCCTCCCTCTCATGGGCATCCTACAATAAAAAGGGGGGGAAAAACAAGCAAATGATGACCCCATACTCTTTGACAGTCACCATTGTCTTCTCAGATTAAAAAAACAGAGCATGTGTTTTAAAGAGTTTGGAAAGCACCGTGAAACACTGGCCAATGAACTCCCACGGAGCACTATTTTCTCGGCACTAAACAGCTACAGAATGCGCCACTAAGGCGAGCTGTCCGCTATCACCTTGTGATCCCTGGTCTGGATGCCACTGAGAAAGACGTGTGATGCTGGCAACCTCGTCAGAACATTCCTGTTTCACTGACCTGTGCGTGCCTCCGTTCACAATGGGTCCCCACCCCCACGTAATCCCAAGGGCTTTGAACCTGGACTAGAACACAGACGAATCCGATCGTTGGTCTTAAGTCTGCTCAGAGCAGCGGCCAGGGAAGCATCTGGCAAATGCTTGGCCGCTGCAGTTTCAGGGGCTGTCTGCCATGCCCTCTTAGCACCACGGCCTTGGTCAGGAGCTGCACGCTGTTGGGACACAGCTCTCATTCATCCCTTATCCTACCTAAGACTGGGGCTCAGTTCCTGTCTGCAGCAGGCAAGGTGTGAGACCCAAGGTCTGAAGCGCAGTCGTGGTATGAAGGACCCAGCAGCAGCAGCAGAGGTCAGGCCTTCATCTCACCCCTTGCCCTTGATGACTGCCTTTACTTCAGTGTCACCGCCCTGGTCACACCGACATTTGGCTACAATAACTCAGCTATGTGAGAAACTGGCGCTGGGCTGGGTACAGTGGCATGTGTTTGTCATCCAGTACTTAGGAAGCTGAGGCAAGAACATCACAGGGCTGAAGACACCTTGAACTACAGGCTAGAAACACTAAGAAATAGAGAAAACAAAACAAAAATAACACCACCAACCCCCGCCCCCAACAATCTGCATCCGCTTAAACAGTAGTCTGTGGTGCCCCCTTGTGGACACTCAGAATGCTTCAGTGACATCCTACGAGTCCAGTTATAAAGCTGTAAAGAAAGGACTTTGCCCCGTAGGATAATTGGATCTGACCTGAATATAAAGTTTTTCCACGGTACCAAATGCCGAGGACAGAAGTCACAGTGAGCGGGAAGAAAAAGAGAAAACCAGGGAGATGCCCTCAACCCAGTTCTGTAGAGCATGCCAGAGCCCAAGCCTAGACTCCCACATTCCCCACATTCTAGGACAGTGGAAAAGAGCTGCGTGATTCCCTCCGAGTCCTGGAGCAAGTGCTGACTTAGGAGTGTGGTTAAACGAGAACACGGGTTGAGCAGTACAGTGAAGCTTTGGAACAAACATCTGGATCTCTGAAAGCAGTCCAACACACCACGTTAAAATAACGCTTTTAATGGTTAATGACTTGAATGACAAGACTCTGGCTGTTTAATATAATTTTTTTTCTTGAAAAGTCATTTGCGGGATTTGTTTAGTTTATCATCTATTTTTTCAGCATTATGGCTCCTATTTAACTTCTTTTTGTAGGGATCAGTGGTTTGATACCCAGCACTTCATTTAAAAGGACTCTTACGTCATCTGAGATCATGAATACAGGAGACGAAGCTACCTAGTACACCCTCTGAAGAAACGTTTTAAAATGTGCTATTTTTAATTGTGTGTGTGCGCGAGTGTCTATGTGTGTGCTGGTGCCCCCAGAGGCCGGAGGGATTTGATTCCAGAGCTGGAGTTCTGAGCAGCTGCGTCTGCCTGAGCCTTGGACCAGTTCCTCCGCGAGAGCAGTCCACATTCTTAGACGCTGAGCCGTCCCTCTAGCCCAGAAACATTTTTGTTTGCTTGTTTTTGTTTTGTTTTTTCGAGACAAGGTTTCTCTGTGGCTTTGGAGCCTGTCCTGGAACTAGCTCTTGTAGACCAGGCTGGTCTCGAACTCACAGAGATCCGCCTGCCTCTGCCTCCCAAGTGCTGGGATTAAAGGCGTGCGCCACCACTGCCTGGCTCCAGAAACATTTTTTCAATGCCGTGTTACCATGTTATCTCCCACAGATGATGACTCTGGAAGCAGCGCCAGGAGCTCTGAGACACAGAGCGTCTGAGGAAGGCTTGGGCTGTGGTTGGTGCCTGGGCTAATTCCTCTTGTCATTCTTTTAATTCTTCTTTTGAAAAAAAAAATCTAAACAAATTCCTTTCCTTTCCTTCTGCAATCCTCTTTTCATGCAAATAAAACATATTGTTTTGGTTTTTGTTCGTTTGTGCCTTCAAGCGAGCTGCCCCCGGCCCCCAGCCCATGTGTATATGTTTTGAAGGACGAAGAATGAATAGTCAGTGCCTACTTAGGTGGAAGATGAAAACAGGAAACATTTCTGACTTCTTTGCTCTGGGTAACTATGACTTTGGAACATGAGACATTCGCGGAGTTTTACAGAAGACACTTTTGTCCCGTGCGGGATCAGCCCTACAGGCCGACGTGACTAGGCAGTTCACTCCTTCCACATCTGAAGGGTTCACACAGCACTCTGTATCCGGGGCACACCCTCTGCTCAGGTCTCCCCACTCCAGGCTCCTCTGCACAGGCTCCAGAGGCAGCTGGGTGAAGGGGTCACCCTCCAGGCACAGTGGCCATCAGGAATAAAGCGCCTTTGGTACCTCAAGTGCCGATGGGCAATCAATCTACACTTGGTCTACATTGCCCATCTATGGGCACAACTGAAGAAAAAACACTGGGAATAGATGAAAGAAAAAATCCTTGATTAGAATGAACGGCATTTTTCTGTGAAAATGGCTTCGAAACACAAGTTTTAAATCCAGCAACCACATCTTTCAAGAGATCCCACTCTAGGACCAACAGCATTCTGTAAACAGGCAAGCAAACAAGATCAACTAGCGGGTGACAAGAGTCCGCTGACAGCCCAGGAAAGCTGCAGACAACAGCAAGCTCTTAAGTGTGCGGAGCCATCTACGGCTCTTTGCTGGGGTGGGCCAGTTCACCATATTCTGCTTCACCTGGAAAGGAAAGAGAGACAGTTAGTTATCTTATTACCTGGGTGGGGCACTCTTAACAGTTCATTTGTTCCCAGCAAAGACTAGAGAAACACTCAGGACCTAAAAGTTTAATATTTTAAGTTAATTTCAGTGACTCCTGGTCCTGGTTTTAGTAAATGCGGGACAGGGACAAAGGATAATCTTTTAAGGAGCTCCTCTGCTCTCCTTGGGTGATTCTGACGTCTCGGTCAATGTCTCAGGACGTAACAGAACCACTCACTGCCTGCAGGACTTCGTTCAAAACAAATTTCTGAAGGTTTAAAATGAAAAACAAACAAACACAGGGCGGGGGTGTAGCCCAGGCAAGAGGCGCTTGCCTGGTATTCACAGAACTCTGAGTTTGACGAACTCACAAGGTGGCTCCACCTGTAACCCAGCACTCTGGAGGTGGAGGAGGCAGGAGGAGCAGGAGCTCAAGGTTATCCTTGGCTATAAAGAGAAGTTTTAGACTAGCCTGGGATACAAAAGACTCTGGGGGGGGGGGGCAGAAACCTTTACAACACAAAAGGGGTCCTGAACATTAAAACAAGAGAGAAGTGACTGACCAATACCAATTGATACTGGGCCCAGCTAGGAGGTGACCTTGTCTGTCTTTCTGTTCTGACTGGGGTTAACAGACTACAGATCCAGCCGTGACAAGCTCAATAGAGACCTGAGTCTCAGTAGTTTACCCTGAGACAATACCTGGTTCCAATAAAGACCACAAACTGAGACCACCCAGGCACCACCCAGGAAATGACCACCCAAAGAAACATTTCAACTATTGTAGACAGGATCACCTGCCAGCACACACCCGTCGCCTTTTACCAGGACACCCCTAGACAAATGTCAGCCAATCAGGAGTCCTAATCCTTAGAAATCCCTCACCCCCACCTTTGCTACTATAAAACCTCGACTCTGAGATTGGGGCTCTCCGATCACTCCAAACGTTGGAGAGACCGAGTTTGCAAACTTGTGTAAGAATAAAGACTCTTTGTTTTTACATATTGGGCTCAGTCTCCTGGCTGGTTTTGGGGGGACTCCGTGATCTGGGCATAACATATACAACTAGGAAATCTCTGCCTCAGTCTTGGTAAGAGACATCCGAGTGGGCCAGTGATAAAGTGAAGCCTAGTTCAGCCCTTCCTGCGAAAGGCTGCCTCCAGGACATCAGCAAACGCCTCAAGAAGTCCTTCAAACCTTCACTCAACAGGCAAGTTAGCAGACCGGCTTGGTCCAGCAACCCAATGACACAGGTCATTTAGTTAGGTCCGGTGTCAGCCCTGACCTCCAGGTTCCTGTGTGGACACTTTCATTCCAGTGTCCCAGCCAGCAGCTGCAGGCAGAAGACCCTGTGCTGTTTAGAGAAACAGCATCTTCTGAGGTGGAGCTGGGCAAACTCTAGAATGCCATGAGGACCCCGTTAGTGGCTCCTGAGAATGGACAGACCACAGTCCTCACAGGTACAACTGTCCACTCCCCGGACTGTGACACAGTCCTGGCAGCAAACGGCAGTAAGGAGCTAGAAGGAAGTCTCACTCAAAGATTGAAGTAGCAATCAGTGGCCAGAGGTACCCACAGCAGTTTTTAGATGCCTTCCTTCCATAGTACCGCACAGCAGGGGACGCCTGGCCCTGCTCTCCCATCCTCCCCTCAGGACCAGACCAAAGGTTCCCTCTTATCTCTGAGCTGCAGAAAAGCACTTACCCGCTACATAACAGAGGTGGGGGCCTCTATTTTACTCACTCAGAGCAGAGACTTATGGGAAAACATAATTCTATTTTGTTATTAAAGTAAGCACTGCCCAGGGCATGTTATTTACACAGAGATAACTGCACTATGGAGATTGTGATGTCCCGGGAAGGAAAACTCTAACCTCAAAGAGCGGCCCATCATTCTTGCTGTCAGTCTCCTTGATAATATGGTGCGTGGTGATGACCTCGGCAATTGCTACCTCCACATCCTATAACGGAGGACGCTTGGCCAGCCCAGAGGAGGGTCAGAGGCCCTGTGCCTCTTCTCAACAAAATCAATGCTGGGAAGGCTGAGTTCTTCACTCAGACGATTGAAAGACTTTGTTTCAATCAAGTGCCAATCAGCAGCTGCTTCCCCAACACCTGCTGTGGGCTGGGCCACGCACTACCCTCAGCTCTGCTCAGACTACAGGGGCAGGAACACAATAGAGCCCTGAGCTTTGCTGTTAAAACTTACAACCACTGGGGTAGGGTGGGGGCTACACAGTTTCACCTGCGTTGTTCCCTAATAGAATAAGACAAACACTAAGAATTTAGGCTCCAGACTGGGAATGGTCTGGTCCCCCAAGGAATTCCTTTTCCCAAGGTCAGGCATTTAGACAAAAGCCACCATTATCTCAGGGACTAGAAGAAAGTTCCTACTTGCTAAAAAGGAAGTCATTCTTCTCTCCTGCAAGAGGAACTGTGGCTCTTAACAGAACTGTGGTACCTAAGACAAGGTTAATGCTGCCTCTCTTAAACTCTTAATCTCTGCTCACAAACCTCACCCCAGCTCGCAAGCCCTTTTCCCTGTTCTCATTTAACTCTAGAAACCTTTTCCCTGTTGCTTCTCCTTGCTTTCCCAGGAGACAGCCTTGCCTTGGCAATTTGGCATAAACTTCCCTTTCCAGCCAAAGAGCTGCTATGTTGGCTTCTTTACTGCACCCGTTTTCATGCAGGCACGGCATATAAATCTATCTGACTAGCCTCACCCATCTCCCCGCAGAGCTGTCAGTCATCACAAACAGGAAGTGAACGAAAAATGAACTTGGAGTGGCAGCCCCAGCAACAGCACCTGGTTCGGAGTCCCTGGCTTCCGTGCTAGGATGCTTTCGTTTGAATCCCAGCACTGGCCACCTCCTGGCCGAAAGGCATTGAGCAAGCCTGGCATTTCTCGGCCAGGTGCTCCATTTTACAGCCTGGGGATCACTGCTTGCTTTATCCGGGTGTGGTGAGAAGCTAATCACGTGAAGCATAGCACCAACTGGTAAAACATGTTCAACAGACTCTACCCGCAACTGTTGGTATCATTATCACCTCTCAAGCTTGCAGAGGTCACATAGAGCCAAATTCCTATTGCCACTTAGGAAACTCTGTCCCCTGAACCTTGACCTCACTCCAGATCGGATCGTCCTTTTCCTCCCACCCCAGTCCATCTTTGGAGCCTGCTTCTCAGCTGCTTTCAGACAAGACGGTACTGGGGACCAAACCTCGGACTGCTGAGCTATGTCTCCAGCCATTGGTAATTCTACTACTTTTATTTTGTAATGCTGAGATTCATGCCCAAGCCCCAGCTGCTGGACTTACACCTCCAGCACCCCTACCCCACCCCCATCTCCTTTCTCTCCAGGGGCCCCTTTGGTCCCAACTTCATCACCTCCAGAGGAATAAACCACATCTCCCCACAGGCATCCCGGTGATGCTGGCAGGAAAGGGTCACTTGCTCAGACTCAGATGCGGTGCACTCAGACCAGAGCAGCAAGCCTGCTCCTTAGACAGTCCTCCCACAGGCACAGCCCTGACGCTGGACCTCAACCCCGAAGCCCAGACCCCAGGGGGAGTTCATGGGCACAGTGACCTGAATGAAACTCCTCCCCACCTTCTCATTGAGCTCTAAGTGAAATTTGTTATTCCTTCAGGGATGATTGCAGATGACAAACCATAGACGTGATGGGGTATCTGTGACCGTCTCCAACAACACTAGAGAAATCAAAGATGCCTTGCAATTGTGCTATGATTATGGTGTGGTAAACGTTATATAGCCTCTAGTTTCCACTACTTTGAGAGTTACGGACTCATTGTTTTAGTTTGTTTGAAACACAGTTTCACGTAACCCAGGCTGGCTTCAACCTCACCACGTAGCTGAGGCTGGCCTTGAATTCCTAATCCAAGTGGTTGTCTCTGCCTCCCAAGGACTGGGGTTACAGGTATATGTCATTACTAGATTTTTTTTCTTTTTTCTTTTCGGTTTTTCAGGACAGGGTTTCTCTGTGTAACAGTCCTGGCTATCCTGGAACTCACTGTAGACCAGGCTGGCTTCAAACTCACAGAGATCTGCCTCCCAAGTGCTGGGATTAAAGGCGTGCGCCACCACCACCCAGCACTAGATTTTACACTATTTAATGTTAATTCAGAAGCTTACCAATGCTGTATCACACATTTAAAAGTATTTTATAGTTATATTTTAAGAGTTGTTCTTTATTTGGTTGATCTCACTATATAGCTCTGGCTGTCCTAGAACTCACCAAGATCTCCCCTGCTTCTACCTTCCAAGTGCTGGCATTAAAGGGATGCACTACTATGCCTGGCTTCTTTTGTAACCTATGTATTTTATTATTTTAAGAGTGGATCCTAGATTATGCAAGGGTCTGAATCATATGAAACGTTAAACCCCCTCGCATTGGGAGGGCTGGAAAGGGCGATGCTGGACAGGTGAGAAATGTATACTCACTGCAATGTGACATTAAAATATTCTTCAGGTGTCACGACTTTCGGTCCACCAAAGTAGTCCAAGACCCAAATGTTGGTTATATTTAACTTTGCAAAGAACCAGTTATGGCTGGAAGGCCAAGTCTTCATCTCAGGGTGTCGCAGGAATAACGAATTCTTCGCATAGTCTGCTTCCTTCTCATTCACCTGAAGGATAAACCGGGGAGAAACAGACTGACTCTTGGATTTCTCCTTCGCTAACAATGTGTGGTTCTCACACCACACACCCTGCCTGAGAACTTATTCAGCTGCAAATCATGGTCTTCAGACTTCAGAATAAATGGAAGCTCAGAGAAAATGGACAACGGTGATTTCATACTTGTAACGTAATGACACATGCATCAAAACAGACCGTAAGGACCAAGATTCGCTGCTCAACAGTGATCCTGAGCTTCTACTGTACCGGTTCAGACACACTAGTGTCACCTGGGCCTGAAAGTAGCGTCCCACTCACCCCAGGATCTATCTGCACATGTGAAAAGCATGCGTGTGAAGGGTGAACATGCATAGAAGTAACACGATGGGACCCAAGAGCATTTGTCACTTCCAGGCTTGCTCCTGTTAGTCAAGAACACCACCCACAGAGATATACCCACGAGAATGTCCAGACCTGAAGTCACAAAGGCCAGAAAGCAAATCACTGGCTCAGCAATAAGACTATGTACATGACACCTGTCCACTGGCATTCCATAGATCTTTTTCTGTTTGGTTTTAGAGATGGGGGTCTCACTATGAAGACCTAGCTGTCCTAGAACTCACTATGTAGACAAGGCTGTCCTGGAACTTACTATGTAGACAAGGCTGGCCTTGACATTACTGTGTAGACCGGGCTGGTCTTGAACTCACAGGTATCTGCCTGTCTCTGCCTCCTGGGTGCTTGGATTAGAAGCATGCACCACCACACTCAGCACTGTCGATCATATCTAACCTCTTCTCTCCAGCACTCAGCCCAGACTGTCCAGACACACTTCTAGTTAGTAACAGACACCCCTCTTGTTGGTATCAAACATGGGAACATGGAACTCTCGTGAAACTAGAGAGCAATGGCTCTGTATGAGCAGACATTTCTTTTTTTTATTTTTTTTTTAATTTTTTTTTCAGACATTTCTTAACAAGAGTGTTTTTACACAGAATCTTCCAAATGTGACATGTTTGGCTGTAAGACATAGGTTCTTTGTTCCTTAAGAGTCCTACTGAACACCTACATGATGGACCCCCACCAGAGCCTTAAGTTCTTGAACTCACTGTATGTGTGAGAACGTGTTCTTACCACGCACCCACTAACAAATCAATTGCATGTTATTCTTCAAAGACTGCTTCCTTGTTTCTAATACCATGACATTCTGGCCCATCTCTCCTCGTGGAAGTCACCACTCACCTTGGTCACAGTTCCCGACAACATTATATGAACACACAAGGGACTCTGGGGATCAAATCCATGTTTCCTACAGAAGACAGTCTGTGCCAAAGACAGTGTCAGCGTAGCCTCTGGATGTTCCTGCAGAGAGAAAAACGAAGAGCCTTGCATGTGACCTGCGGTTTCTGGAGCTGCAGATGTGCAGTCCCTCCATGTATCTCATACGGAACAGTGAACTGCAAGCCACCCTGAACAAGGGAAAACAGTCTGCGGGTGGAGACCAGTTCTGATCCCCACCAAGTGTGGAGAGGTGCCAGGTTTTAAATGAACAATCTACAGGGAATGTTTTAGTATAGCTGTTATCTATTCCATAATTGTCAGAAGTATAAATACAGTATCCCCCAAACCAGGGCTGTTGATAGCCCTCACCGAAATATCTACAGGGTCAAACTCTAATAAAAAACGAAACCAAACCAAACAGTTCATAAAAAGCCACAGCTGCTTGAACAGCCTAATTACACAATTTAAACAAGAAAGTAGCTGAATCACGCTGCGGGGTTATCTCGTGACTGCAGAAGCTGTCACGTGATCTCCAAAAGGGAGAGTTTCTTATTCCCCTCCCAGCTTCTGTAACAAGAGAATTCTTCACTCCGACTCAAACATAAAGGCAGAAAGACTCAATTCCTTTCTCTCCAGAACCCAGCATCCTTCCACAAGGCTGCAAATTCACAACTGCCTTCACCCCGAGTGGTTTTGGGGTGAACTTTCCTATTTCACAATGGCCCACCAAAAACGCGGAGTCTCAGAGACTCTCAGGAAAGAGGAAAACAGAAAAAGCTCAGAAGGCAAGAGCAGGTACTGCTCTCTCACGGGGCCCAAGTTCGGTTCCCAGCACCCATGTCCAGTGGCTCACAACCACTTGTAACTTCAGTTCCAAGGGATCCCACATCTGCCCTATGACAGCGCCCACACACAGTTAAAGTCAATCTTGCTGGACATGGTTGCTGGACATGGTGGTGCATACCTTTAATCCTAGCTAAAATATTTGCTGTCTTCAAGCTGTTAGACAAGAGGATCTCCCCCTTCTACCCAACCC